CCCGCCATGCCGGGGATGCCAGCGGTCACAGCACGTGAGTCCCGTCACGACCCCTCACCCCTCCTGGCGGTCACCTCCCACCCACCCACCCACTGTCACCTCAAATGAAATCACAAAACCTGGACATCCTCAGGGGTGAAGAGGACGCCAGGAAGCTGCAGAGTCGATTCATTCTCATTAACTCCCGACACCACACACAGGAGAGACGACGGGCCTTGGTTCTTTGGTGATAGCACACGGCACGGGACCCTTGTCCCGGTGTCCTGTAGACAGAGCATGGCACAAGGGACGGGGATGAGAGGGGGCGGGGAGGCGAGGAACAAGGGAAGGGGCACCTTTCCTCAGCTGGCAGTTAAGCACATCAGTCCATTTCACCTCTACCAAACGGAACACTTGGATTTCATCTCTTCTCCGAGGAGCTTGACGGCATAAATCAGAAGCAAGCACAGAGTTTGTCAGGTTTGAAGCCCCTATGATGGTATGTGTCAAATCAGTTGTAGCTAATCTGTCCAGGGAGAATACTGGCTTCATTACACTTGTATAGTTGAGTTCTTCCAGCATTACCGCTGTTTAATAGAACATGATTAGTCATCACCGAGAAGAAAGCATATTAGCCGAGGAGGTAGTTACGCGGCACGCTCCGGTGATTGCCACGATGTGATTGCAATACTCTTAGAAGCATCATATTATCCCAGACATGTTCTTTCAAGCCCTTGGAGCCCTCCTTTCTAAATTCACTGTCATAATTTAGTATCTGTTTAATTTTTCAGTCCAAAGAGAGGAGATCAGTTGCTGAGTATTATTTGACTGCAGTCTCCTTGGTGCAAAAACAAAATGGAAAAAATAAATAAGAATAACTAGGAAACTCAAAAGGAAATCACGAATTCAGCATTTCGAGTACATTTCATAAACTAAGTAAATACATAAAAGACTATTTTTCCCGAACATAAGAGATATTTTATGTCCTTTTGCCAAGGTGGATGTGTTGGGTCCCATTCACTCCTGGGTCACGTTGCCCAAGTTACACAGGATTCTGTATTATATCTTTAGATAAGATATGTGCAAATCTATTTGAATAAAAGAAGTTCATAAATATGCATTGATTTTTGTACAGACAAATGGCACCTCTGTTAATTTATAAATTGAACTGGATGTGAACTAATAATGTGCAACTAGTTGAGATAAGAGGGTTACAGATCATTGTACATGGAAAATATTCCCAGCAGTAAACACTTCCATTAATGTGATGTACAGCTTTTAAAAAGGAACATATCAGAATAAGATGGTGGTTCATTTTGCTTATTAAAATCAAGAAAGAAAAAAAAGAAGAAGACACTGAAGCGTATTAGAAAGGAGGGAAGGGGCATGTGATTTCTCATTATTGAAAGCATGATTTAGATCTGATACCACTTTTGCTAACTGGGAGCAAAGGGCTCTGGCCAGGCAGGGCCGTCTTCCGAATACCAGAGCAAGGTGCTTTGCAAAGGCAGATTACGACCAGCTGCCGATGGTTCTGGGCTCAGATCAGCTCATGAGAAGCCACAGGACTGATGTAGCAGCCAGGCCCTCCGTGCTAGGACTTCCCCTGATTGCCATCAGTGGTACCGGGCTGCTTCAGATGTCGGCCACCTTCAGCGTGGGGTCAAACATAGTGAACCAGATCATGCTACACTTCAGGTGAAAAAGGAAAGGGCAGCTTCACCTGGAGCCCTTTGGCGGTATGACGGGGGAAGAAGGGTTGTCACATGAGAAGATGGGATCCTGGGTTGACATAGCACAGGAGCACGAGGCTACAGCTGCCTGGCGGCCTCTGGGGAAGTCCCTTGCTCTCATATATTAAACCTATCTTTTGTAAGCATTTTTCCTCTTCTTTCACTTTTAAAAAATAAAATAAAATTAAAATAGGTGGGGGAAAAAATAAAGCTTTACACAGAATTTATATGTGGGTAAGTGTTTCGTGGAAATTTCTAATCTNGATCTGATACCACTTTTGCTAACTGGGAGCAAAGGGCTCTGGCCAGGCAGGGCCGTCTTCCAAATACCAGAGCAAGGTGCTTTGCAAAGGCAGATTACGACCAGCTGCCGATGGTTCTGGGTTCAGATCAGCTCATGAGAAGCCACAGGACTGATGTAGCAGCCAGGCCCTCCGTGCTAGGACTTCCCCTGATTGCCATCAGTGGTACCGGGCTGCTTCAGATGTCGGCCACCTTCAGCGTTGGGTCATACATAGTGAACCAGATCATGCTACACTTCAGGTGAAAAAGGAAAGGGCAGCTTCACCTGGAGCCCTTTGGCGGTATGACGGGGGAAGAATGGTTGTCACATGAGAAGATGGGATACTGGGTTGACATAGCACAGGAGCACGAGGCTACAGCTGCCTGGCAGCCTCTGGGGAAGTCCCTTGCTCTCATATATTAAACCTATCTTTTGTAAGCATTTTTCCTCTTCTTTCACTTTTTAAAAAATAAAATAAAATTAAAATAGGTGGGGGAAAAATAAAGCTTTACACAGAATTTATATGTGGGTAAGTGTTTCGTGGAAATTTCTAATCTTAATTAAGCTCAGTGGAACTCATCGGTATCCAAGAATATAACAGGTGCAGAAGCCACAAATCTGAGAACCTTGACAGCAGTTCCATGGTCCCTCCATTTGATTTTTAATTCTGCATTTGACCACTGTGTAGCTATTTTAAATGTGAACAGAGGAAAAAGTCACTGCCTATTTTGGAAGAGTGCGTCTGTGCTGGACGCATCCGCCCCACGCAGCCTTCATCGTAGACTTTCTGTAGTGAGCACAGACATAGTATCAATGCGATTCTTAAATTATTTCTTTGTAGTTAATTCCCACTATAGGAATGCTTTATCATAATGAAGCCTTCTTTGGAAAAGAAACGGAATTCTTTGTAAGGCTTCTCCTTGGGATGTATATGAGTGTGTACATATTATTATTATATGTGTTTATAATATAATATTTTCCCAGATGACTTCTTGTTTCACTTCGCCTTGCACAGCCCGAATGCTAGATTGGTTTTCCCCTTCCCTCCCTCCTCAGCAAACACGGCCCCTCCCCTGCCGTTTTTGGCCACACTGATCTCCGAGAGGCAACCCGCTTTCTTGAGCCCAAGTTCTGGCAGCAGAAGGAAAGGCAGTAGTGGGGTTTCAGGGTTTTCTTTTCAAATAAAGAAGACCGGTGGCTTATCTGTTGGTATTTCAGTGTCAATCGGAAGTCCTTTCTTTGCTGATGACCTCTCATTCCCATTTTCGAGCTTACTGACACCAAGGCTGGGAGAAGCAAGCACCAAGGGCCAGTGTTAGAAATAACTGGTTTGGGAAGGGGGTCAAGCTTTGCATGTTCATTTCCATGTTCAGTTCTATGAAGGGATGATGACATGAGAAGCCACCACTGCAGAATCATATAAGCTTTTCTGTTCAGATTTTAAATTCTCCCCTGACGAGAAACAGCCAGCGGGGAGAGGCTCCTTAGGGGGCCGTGCACATTCGGATCACCGTGTGGGTGACCGGACGGACACGTCTGTCTCCCACATCCCGGCAGTGCCGCCTTTCAGCCTAGCAGTTACTGAGCTGGGAGCGTGTGGTGAGGACCTCGCTGGATTTCTTCAGTGGCCAGGAAAACCCTGCAGGGCAAGGGTGCTGGGATTCTGACCCCGCATGAGCGGACCTCAAGTACTGTGATGGGTAAACGGTTTACCAAGTCCAGCACCCCAGTCGTGGTCCCTTGTCCCTTCTGTCTCCTGTCAGCCTGGGAAATGAGCAGCTTGAGGATGAACAGGTGACAAGTTCAGGAGTCTTTGGTCCCCAAAACAGGTGCAATGTCTTATCTCCCAGTAAGTACGCACGTTTATGTATTCCAGAAAGGCAGGGGGAGGCGTTGGGTGCAGCTGATCACAGGGTTGTCGGACGCAGAAGAGACCAGGCTCTTACTGAATTAAATCCTGACTATACTCCTTAACTCAGCACAGTCTCTGCAGGGCTGCGAGTCGCAGGCCAGTCACAGTGCTTTTTCAGCACATTGCAGGCCTTTGCATTGAAACTCACTCTTCTGAGATTTTGCCAGTCCACTGAGCTCTGTTTATATCCCTCCTCTGCCATCCAGGGTAGACACCAGTTTTCCCAGTTTTGTGACATCTGTACACATTTGGGGACATATCCCAAGTCTGCATAGGAGCTATTACATACTCCATTAGGGAGAAAACAGCCCAGAGAGAGAGACAGCCCAGGACAGTGCAGACCTGGGTTCTCCAGGCTCTGCCATCCCAGCAAGGATGCTTGCATAGCCTTGGGCAAGAGGCCAACCTCTTGGACTCTTTTTCCTCATCTGGGAAACTTGCAGGGTGCATTAAGGTTTTTGAGCCAATGTGATAAATGCCGTCCTACCACCTGGCCAGGCGTGGGTGCTCAGGAAATGGGAGTGGTTATTAAGAACAGTAACGCTGACAGGACCGAAGCCAGAGCATACACCTGGACACCTGCCCCCTAGCTGACACCTGTCCTCCAGCCAGTGTCCCAGGGAAGCAGTGATGGGCACATCTGCCAGACCCGCCCAGCCCCACCCAGCCCCCTGCATGCTGGGAACGTGTCAGAGGAGGGCTGAGGCTACCTGGGGTCCTGCCCGTTACTATCTTGCCAACCCCCACTTCTCAAAACGTAGCTTCCATTTTTTTAGTATGAGTTTGATTTTCCAGAAACAAAGCAGGGGGTGAGTTCTGCCCTCATGCCATTCGCCAGGCTGCCTCAGGCCCAGGACAACCCTTTCCTTCAGACACCACTCTCTGACCGCTGTGAGCTGCTGTGACACGCATCTGTTGGTCCTCATTTTTAGTGCCCTTTTTCTCCTCCTCTTAAGAT